CATCCTGTCTTTTAATCTATTTTTGGCTTCTAGTCATACATTGATTAACATTTTATCGTTTTTTCCTTTCGCTAACTCGTAAGAAAGGCTTTTATCCCTTGACCTATGTAATCGACCAATTAGAATTTTCAACATTTCCTATAGTCCCCTAAAACGAAAATTTCTACGGATTTATTTTGCAAGACTTTCCCTAACTATTAAATTGAGGAACACTTTGATTTTCTGGATGATTGTTCTCTTTCGTATTAAGTAAATATTGTGCCTTGCCTGTTTTTATCCTTCCTCTCGGCAACGACTTTAGATGAATATATAGATAGACGCCACTCATTGATTTATTATTATTTTTTAAAGTTAAGAATTACAGATCTGTATACGTTTATCCGGTATGCCTAACACTGATTCTTTTAAAAATTATAGTACCATTGCTCCTGCTGTTCCGAATACTGCCCATCGAGTTGAAGGGTTGAGTTTGTGGTCTTGAATTCGTTCACCATGATGTAGCGGTACCCTATAACGAAACAGTACCCAATATATCTGCGAATGAAAAGTTCTATCTTCAGGTATAACTGCTTTTGTGCTTTAACCGGATAATCTTAGGTTTTATCAGAATCCTTGGTAAAAGTCCGAATTATACAGCAGACTTTGGGCTTTTAATGAGTTACTTTGGTGAATATTAGGTTTTACCGTTAAATCCTAAGATTAACCTAACTTCGAGCTGTTACAGTAACCAAATCATTCTTAGACACGCTTAATTAGCAAGTGTACAATCGTGATGCTTTTAAATTATAATCATATTTTGACGTACTTGCTGTGCCGCATTCCATACTAAATCAGCTTTGTTTACCAATCGTTTTTTTTTTCGTCCGGTCAAATCCCTATTTATTTATTTTTTAATTTTAAGATTCTGATATATGTTATTCGTGATTGCAACGCATGAATACACACTCTATCTGGGCGCAAATTTTCAGACTATTATTTATTAGATTTTCATTCAGTACCTTCAGAATAACTGCGTAGGTAGGACGTTTTTTTCCATCAGCAAAGAGGAAACAAAATTTCCCTAAGAAAAAAGCTGATGAACTTGACTTCTAGAAGAACATCGGAAAATCTTTTTGAAACAGAACGCAAGTAACACTTCAAGAACATTTTACCATTAATGCTTTTTTGATTAACAAACATCATTTCAGTGAAATAGGAACTTTTGCATTCGTGATGACTAAGGCCCGGATTTTGATGACATTTGCATTTTTGGACATTTTTTGTCCTTTATAGCATTTTTTTAGATTTATAGGGCATTTTACATTAAATTTGGCTTATTTTGCATTTTAAAACATTTTTTTTAATTTTTTGTTAATTTTCTCCAATTTTTATCATTTTTTTTATAATTTTTTATTATTACACTGGCTTTCAAACAGTGAAGAAAATCTCTAGGATATTAACAGGTGAAGCAACATCTTTTCAAATTGAAGAAGAATTGTCAGTAAGTGAG